ACACGTCCATGTGAAGAGTCTGCAGGGGAGCCTCCGTCGGAGGGAACTCGGAGGAGTGAGGAGCGGCGCGCTGCCGCCCCTCGACGCAAGGAACGCAGGTAGGGGCAGGCCCCGGGGGAAGGGAAGGGAGAGACCGGGGAAGGCCGGTGACAAGGACACGGGAGGCCATGCCTCGGAGACGAGGCATGGAGGGGTGACCAAGGCGGTGGTGCCAGAGGAGAGTCTGGTGAGACAGGAGGCGACACGAGCAAGGGGCAGACTCAGGACCAAACCGGGACGCTGCAGCAAACACCCGACCAGACGCAGCTACCTGACCAGACTCAGCAACCGGAGGAGACACGGTAGTCAGGGTGTACAGGCTCGACCCCGGCTGACGGGTGAACGTGGCCAGGTGCCGGCCCGTCCGAGTACACGAACAGTGGGTCACCCAGGAGTGAACTGGTCAACCCAGGCGTCCTGAAGGTCAGCTCCACTCACCAAGTTCGTGGAGAACGAAGGGAGGTGGAGGCCAGACAGAGAGCCAGACGGGACCGCCGGACACGGCAGAACCGTGGAGGAGTGTGCAAGGACCGGACCCCCAGAGGGGTCAGCTAGAGAGACTGCCACTGGCCGACTGAGCGGCGAGAGTGTGGTGGAGTCGCGAAAGAAGGAGCAGGAAGCACCCGAGTCAAGGGTGAAAGTGTGTAAGACCTGAGCCGACGCGGTACCTGAGAGAGCAGACTCACCAGCACCTGGAGCAGCAGACTCACTAGCACCTAGAGCAGCAGCCTCAATGCCCGGGTCGGGCGGAACACACAGGTAACAGTCACCCTCAGCACTAATAGACACAACATACATAGCAGCAAGGATAGCATCATAGTCAAGATCAAAGATAGCAACCCCCGACTTAAGCAGATCACCCCAGCGCGGAATCTCAGTGGCGTCGGGAAACTGTGCACGCCAGGCGTCAGTAAGGCGACCGAAACAGCGATGCGTGGCGTGAGGCCCTCCGCACGTCTCCCCACTACGCTTGCCGGTGCGGAGAACGTAAGCGCAGGGACCAGCACCCCCAGACCTCCCACGCCCAGCGTACCACTCACGAAGCTGCTGGGGCGACAGGGTCTCACGAGAACGCTGCTGCTGCTGGCGCTGGCCACCACCAAAGCCTCCACGCTGCACTGCGCCACCCCGACCAGCACCACCGCCGCCGCCACCCCCACTGCCGCCGCCGCCTACACCCCCATCACCGCCACCGAAGCCCCCACTCCCGCCACCACCCCCACCTCCACCCCCACCCCCTCCGCCGCCTCCATCACCACCACCGCCGCCCCCGCCGTCTCCTCCAGCACCCTTGCCCCCCTTGCTCCTGCCGCTGCGGCGCCTCCCAATAGGAGCAGACGCAGCGCCGACCGACTCGGTGCCAACGAGGTCGACAGCAGCAGCAGAGGCAACAGAAGGCAAAAAGGGAACGGGGGAGCACCCCTCAAAGAAAGGGGCACGAGGGTCACCACGAGAGGCTCCTACAGCGACTATACTCTTCTCAGGTGCAAGGAGGCGCTCCTCGAGGAGGTCAACGGTGAGTGTGGTGGGGCAAAGGGAGAGGAAGTGGTCCCTGACCGAGCGAAGGGAGTCAGGGAGCCGGGTGACGAGGTAGTAGAGAGTGATGTACATAGGGGGGGGGTTCTTGGCGCAGAACTCGGCAGGAAGCGCAGCGCGGTAGCGGGTGTCACTAGTGCGGAGGTGCGTAATGAGGTCAGCGACTGTGGCAAAAGCAGCTTGGTCAGGGAACAGGTATGGCAGCATGAGGCGGCTAAGGGCAGCAGTGGCAAGGGAGGAGTAGCGCGCAACAACAGCGTCGTACAGAGTCCTAGCGGTCTTGTACTGGCTAAAGTGCACGCGCTCAGCTGACGGCAGGTGACTACGAACAGCAAGACGGGCAGCAGCATCGCGCGAGGTCCACTGCAAGCGAACAGCACTATCAGCATCGGCAGCAGGTGCAACAGAGACGCCGGACGTGTGATCGAACAGTGAGACTCCGTCCCTAGAATCGCACTACAGAAACAACTGCAGATCATCGACCCAGACCTCGAAATCAACTACCCGACCCTCACCATTGAAGGTAAGTACATTAGGGGTAGCCTGACAGCAGTAGCAGTAGCAGTAGCAGCAGCAGCAGCAGGAGCAGCGCGATTCGGCAGGGCGGCGCGGCTCGGTAGGGCGGCGCGGCTCGGCAAGGCTACGCGGCTTTTCAGGGCGGCGCGGGTGCGGCGGTGCGCTTACCAGGGCGGGATCGGGGTAGGGCCGCAACTGGAAGGGTAGGGCCGCGGCGCGCCGGCAGGTCAGGGCCGCGTCAGGCAGGGCCGCGACGAGGCGGCAGTGCAGGGCGGCGGCGCGGGAGCAGGGTAGAGCCGCAACAACGGCGGCTGTAGGCAGGGCCGCAACAGTGGCGGTAGGCAGGGCCGCGACTGCGGTCGTAGGAAGGGCCGCGGCGGCGGCAGGCAGGGCCGCGACGGCGGCAGGCAGGGACGCGACGGCGGCAGGCAGGGCCGCGACGGCTCCAGGCAGGGCCGCGACAGCAGGGCGGCAGGGCCGCGACGGGAGGGCAGGGCCGCGACGGCTTCAGGGAGGGTTGTGACGCCAGGGCGGCAGGGCCGCAATGGCAGGGCAGCAATGCCGCGACGGCAGGGCAGGGCCGCGACGGCGTCAGGGAGGGCTGCGACGGCAGGGCGGGAGGGCCGCGACCGCTTCAGGCAGGGCCGCGACGGCAGGGCCGCGACGGTATGGTAGGCGCACGGGGCGCAGGTGAGGCAGGCGCGAGGCGCGCGACAGGGCAGGAGCGCGCTTCGGGCAGGGCAGGAAAACAAAAAATTAATTGGTGGGCCCTAAAAAACGGTCCCACTAGGGAACCCGCTCTATACCATGTGAGATAAGTACGAAGAATGATGTGAACTAGAAAAGAGATGGGTACAAGTAGGAAAACCTAGACAAGTTGTACCCCATAATGTCTACCCCACTACAACCTACACAGGCTATATCATATATGTTTGACACGAAGATGACCACTCTTCGGGTATTGCTGCACGTCGCCACTCAGCGTGACTACGAGCTTCACTCTCTGGACTTTTGCACAGCGTTCTTACAGGGTAGTCTGCACGAGGAGATCTGGCTGTGCCGCCCACCTGGCTTGACTGGGTCGTTCTCTCTTGGTACCCAGTGGAGCCTCCGCCGGCCAGTCTACGGTTGTGAGAGTACGACGGCTTATGCCAGCTATGCTTGCTTGCCTTTACTTTATCATGCTATTTCTAGCATAGGATAATTATATGCATGCATGAATTGCTTGATTTCCTAGGCTAGGTGCTTTCCTATATTTTATTATAGTTATAGCACCGAGCTAGGTTGCGTGCACCGAATTCTGGCTTTTCGGTTGCCACCGAATTGCCTTCTACCGAATTCGGGAAGGATCTGTTCGGGACGCTTCGCGACCCGCGGAACCTTCGCGTAACACCTGGTTACTGGGCCTTGTGTCGAGCCTACATATAGCCTCGTGTTGTACCCAGGTTGTGAGGATCTAGGATCGAGCTCAGAAAAGAGAATTGTAATTGAATGAATCACCTGGGTACAACACGAGGCTATATATAGGCTCGACACAAGGCCCCGTAACCAGGTGTTACGCGAAGGTTCCGCGGGTCGCGAAGCGTCCCGAACAGATCCTTGCCGAATTCGGTAGAAGGCAATTCGGTGGCAACCGAAAAGCCAGAATTCGGTGCACGCAAGCTAGCTCGGTGCTATAACTATAATAAAATATAGGAAAGCACCTAGCCTAGGAAATCAAGCAATTCATGCATGCATATAATTATCCTATGCTAGAAATAGCATGATAAAGTAAAGGCAAGCAAGCATAGCTGGCATAAGCCGTCGTACTCTCACACAGGTGATCATTCAATTCAATTCAATTCACATTCTCTTTTCTGAGCTCGATCCTAGATCCTCACAACGGTCTCCGTCAGGCGCCTTGTGAGTCGCACGACACAGTGAGGACAACACTTGCGGCTCTTGGGTTTGCACCTTCCACTGCTGACCCGTCGCTGTTTCTGCGCACCGACACTTCGTTGTCTCCGTTCTACATCCTCGTGTACGTCGATGACTTTGGTCTTTGCCACTGCTGACACTGAGGCTCTCGCCCTTATGAAGTCGGAGCTGTAGTAGAGACACACGTGCACAGACCTGGGTGAGCTGCGCAGCTACCTTGGCCTGCAGATCACCCGGGACAGAGCACGGCGCACCATTACACTAACTCAGTCCCACATGGTGCAGTCGCCTCTTATCTCCACTTCTCTCACAGTCCCTCCTCCTCCTCACTTGCCCTCTGTGACTGCCTCTAGTTTTGCTTGTGCTTGTGAACTTTTTATGCGACTGCTTGCTGTGCTGATCATACCCCACTTTGCTTATGGGGGTGTGTCAGAATGTGTTATTTGTCTAGTCTGTAGTGGGGTAGTCTATAGTGAGTACAGCCCTATTAGGGTTTGCTATATGTATCCCACTGTTTGCTTGTGAAACCCCTCTTCTGTTATTCTCATTCCTGCGTGCTATCTTGACACGTGGGTCTCAACCAGATGCTCGTGGACATTGGCAAGAGCGACGACCCTGATGCTCTGATACCATGTCAGAATAACAGTGCAAGAATGATTGGATTAGCAAGAGTTAGCGTACAAGTACTAAGCGTACAAGTACTAACCCTAGAAGTGCTGTACCCCATAAGGAGTGCCCCACTACAACCTACAAGTGAGATTGTACTTTGACATGTACCCCTTAGAGTACATGGCTAGCCAGGACGCTTGGCATTCGTTTGTATTTCCTATATAACCTTGATGTATGCATGCTTTTATCAATCTCAGTCATTTACATTCACTCTGATCTGAGGTCAACACTTCCGCAACAACACTACCCTGCGATCAAACTTGAACGATCCTATGCTAAGTCCCACTTGGGATTGTTACATTGCTAAACAATAAAACGTCCCATCAGCAATAAAACTTATGGAGGAAGTCCAAGGCCTCATCATTACTTGTGCAAACATGCCAAAGCGACTCCACCTCCCCTTCATCCACCAATCCCCACTGCTGCATTTCCTGCATGCAGGCCAGCAACGGCTGGTAGCAGCCCTCATAGTCCATGAGCAGAAACGGCACCGGGAGTCCTTGTGTCCGTTTCCTCGACACACTCTGACTCGAGCTCACACCCAGAGAACCTTGGCCTGGTGCCCCTGCCCCTACTCCCAGCTGCCGCAGCGCCAGGAAATCAAGAATTTCATCCAGTGTGCCCACGCCGCCCGGCAGGGCAATGAAGCCTGCCACATGTGCCTCTGTGGCTCGACTCCCCGCCATGAGAAAGCCTTGCTTGCGAGCTAACACGGACCTGCGACGGCACCGCACATGCGGCGCAACACATGGACACAGAGGCACAGATGGTCACGCTGTGTGTGGTTCTGCTACGGTACTGGGTCCTGACTCCTGACGCAGAGTGGTTGAGCAGCGACAGTGCAGCACACGTGGAGCAAGTGGTTCTCAATGCTGGAAAATGGTTCAAGTGCAGATGAATGAAGCTTTGTGCTGCGAGGAAATGCATGAGGAATAATGCATGAGGAATAAGTAGGAATAAGTAAGAATGATCCGTGTCAAGCGGCCGTACTGGCAGGTGACATAGGAGTGAGGGGGCAGCCTGGGATGCACGAAGGCAGCCTGGGCTTGGCGCGCCTCAGACACTATCTTAAAGCCCGCCACTGGCCTGTGCACGGTGCTCGGGCAAGTGGGGGGGGAGAGGGGCAAGGGGGGTAAGGTGGGGGGTAGATGCATGCATGAGGGAACAGGCAGAGGGCAGGAAGTAGGGTTTGGGGGGAAGAGGGTGGGGGGTGGCAAGAATACGGGAGACACTGGGAAAGAAGGAGGGGTTGGGGAGGGAAGCGAAAGAGCAAGCAAGATTGAAGTAGGGGGAAGTCTATGGAGGAAGTGAAGAGGATGTGCGTGCATGCATGGGTATGGCAGCAGCGGGAGCAGCAGCGCATGCATGGAGCAGCAGCGCATGCATGGAGCAAGAGGGCATGCATGGAGCAAGAGGGCATGCATGGAGCAAGAGGGCATGCATGGGGCAAGAGGGCATGCATGGAGCAAGAGGGCATGCATGGAGCAAGAGGGCATGCATGGAGCAAGAGGGCATGCATGGAGCAAGAGGGCATGCATGGAGCAAGAGGGCATGCATGGGGCAAGAGGGCATGCATGGAGCAAGAGGGCATGCATGGAGCAAGAGGGCATGCATGGGGCAAGAGGGCATGCATGGAGCAAGAGGGCATGCATGTGGTCACCACACCTGTTGACAGCTTCGGCACCAAGGGCGACAGCATCCATGAGGCCCGGCCCGATGCCCGACCATGTGGTGCTGCTGAACTGCTCCGCTATCTGCTCCCTCCATGCATGGAGTCATGCGCATATGGGTACATGCAGTCATGGGTAAATGCACACATGGGTACATGCAGTCATGGGTAAATGCACACATGGGTACATGCAGTCATGGGTAAATGCGCACATGGATACATGCAGTCATGGGTAAATGCGCACATGGATACATGCAGTCATGGGTAAATGCGCACATGGGTTGCACCGTGGCACGCAATGCCATGTCGTGGCCGTGAGGAATGGCAGCTATGCGTTCTGTACAGCCTATCAGTGCCACCTGGCCCGCAATGGCAGCAAACTGACACACGTCCATGCGAGCATATGAATTCCCATTCTGTAGAGCCATCGTGTAACACGTCACACACAATGCCACGTGGCACAGCTCGTCAGACTGCATAACATACGTGTTGCTAACACAATGCAAGCCACGTGGCATACAGTGGCTGGTTAAATCAAACCCACCTTTCCAGCAGGCAACCTGCAAGCCACGGCCTTCCTCAAGGCACGGAACAGGTTACAAGGACAACAAGCATTGGCGCGACTCACAGCAGTGGCGCGCGCTCTCCCTTTCCCCCAGCCCAACTTCCCCCCCTTCCCCCCAGCATTCCGCGCACCTCGCGGCTGAGCGCGAGCGATTGGCGGAAGAAGGGGTGGTCCTCCGCCACGCGCGACGACCCCAGGTACACGAACCCGCGCCCCATGCGCTCCACCACGTCGTAGCACGCCTTAATCTCCTCCCCCACCCGCGCCGCCTCGCGCCACGCGGCGTCGCTTGGTTTTGCCTCCGCTGCCGCTTCCGCGTCCGCCATTTCCGTCGCGCTCCCCGCTTCCGCGCGTGTGCGCGAGGCTGGCCATCTGCTGGGGTGCGCTCCAGCGCCCCTCCTCGCGGAAATTCCCGCAGGCGCGCGGAACGGAAAGGCTCCGCGCAACCCGCGAGCTGCCGTGCCGAACCGCGCAGCGAATTGCGCGGTGTTTTGCCAAGCGGCGAGATCCATTGGGGAGAGTGACGTGGCTCGTGGCGGCGTCGCGAAGGGTGCTGCGATCGACAAGGCAGCGTCGTATGCGGGGACTCTTCTTCTGCTCCGCGTGTTTTGAGTGGCCTCGCCTCACATGTGTCGCCAAGACGAGCAATTTCCAGTCTTGTGTGTCTGGGCAAGACGAGACAAAACAACCAGTTTTTACCACAACCCAATTCTGATGAACCCGTGAAAAGAAACGGGGAGTGGCTGAATTTCAGACAGTTGATTTTTTTGCTGCCCTCCTGCGCCCGACTCCGCACCAGACCGCACCGGATCGCATCGCACCGTACTGAACCCAACCGCGATGCTCGCTGTTAGTGCGGGACGCCTCGCGCCGCTGCTCGCCGTGTCCCCAGGCTGCTTGACGTCGTCGCCGTCGTCGTCGCCACGTCGCTGGTCGTCGCACGGAGGGCGATCGGCGCCGGTGACGACGATCGCGATGCGCGGCGCGGGTGCGTGTCGCTCCATTGCTGAAGCCTCCTCGCTTGCAACTCGCAGATTTTCCTCCCTCGACCGTCTTCGTCCTCTCTCTCCTTTCTCTCCTCTCTCGAATACCTGTCGTCCCACCTCCTGACCTCCACACCCCCAGCAACCGTGTTGACGGGAAGTGGCTATTTTGACTTCAGCGACCCCCACCCTCCTTAGCTTTAACGGTCCTTAGCTTCCCGTTCGGCTACTTATCGCGCTGTCACCACCTTCCGCCTGCCTGCGTGCCACTCCCCTTCCGCTCCCCTTCCGCTCCCCTTCCGCTCTCCTTTCCGCCTCCCCTTCCGCTCCCCTTGCTCTCCCCCAGTGGTGGCGCAGGCGGCGGCGGCTTCCGCGCCTCCGCCGCTCCCCGCGCACTGCCCCGTGGTGGACGCGCACCTGCACGTGTGGGCCAATGAGGCGGAGGTGCGCGCGTGAGGGTGGGGGGGAACGGGGGACGGAAGCGGGGGGAAAAGGGGCAAGGAAGAAAGGGCGAAAGGGGGAAGGATGGGGAGTTACGGGAGCGAATGGGGAAGGAAGGAGGAGGGGAAGAGGGGAGGAGGAAGGGGAGAGGAGAAACCAGGGGACGAGGGGAAGGAGGTGAGAGGAAGAACAAGAAGGGTGGAAGGTGAGAGGGCTGGCGGGAGCTGGTGTGGGCTTAGCTGGTTTCGGTTGGTGCGTCCTGCTCACTCCCCGTCTCCCTCTCTCTCTCTCTCGTGCTCAACCTTTCCCCTCTCTCCGCCTCCCCTCCCCTCCCCGCCCCGCCCTGCGCTGCCCCTCGTGTCCCCGGGCAGGCGCGCACGTTCCCCTTCCATCCCGGGCAGGAGCCCACCATTCCCGGGGACGTTGCGCTGCTGCTCAAGGTGCGTTGGAGGCATGGTGTGGGCGTGGGGGGGGATGGGGGGTGGGGGATGGGGGAGGGGGGATGGGGGGTGGGGGATGGGGGGCCATGGTGTGGGCAAGACGAGGCTCTCTGCTGAAATAAACCCCCCGTATAGATCAGTGCATCATGCCATGCACGCATCATGCTTTGCACGCATCATGCCATGCACGCATCATGCCTTGCACGCATCATGCCATGCACGCATCATGCCATGCACGCATCATGCCTTGCACGCATCATGCCATGCACGCATCATGCCTTGCACGCATCATGCCTTGCACGCATCATGCCATGCACGCATCATGCCATGCACGCATCATGCCTTGCACGCATCATGCCATGCACGCATCATGCCTTGCACGCATCATGCCTTGCACGCATCATGCCATGCACGCATCATGCCATGCACGCATCATGCCATGCACGCATCATGCCATGCTGACTGCCAACTGAGAGTCCGCAGTGTGGCACGCATTGTGCAATTCCATCGCACATATAATACACCTCTGCACCACCCTTGCCATCCCCCATGCGCCATACACGCACGCTCCATCCCCCCCATGCACCATGAATGCACACGCACAGAGCATGGGCGAGGCAGGCGTGCAGGGCGCTATGATGATGTTGTTGATGATGATGATGATGATGATGATGATGATGATGATGATGATGATGATGATGATGATGATGATGATGATGATGATGATGATGATGATGATGATGATGATGATGATCATCATCATCATCATCATCATCATCATCATCATCATCATCATCATCATCATCATCATCACCCACCACATGGACTGATGCTGATCATGGCGCCATGAACGCCCGCCTCGCTGATCCACCACCCTTTGCATCTATCTCCCAAGTGCCATTCACTCCATATCCCCCCATCCCCCATGCGCCATGCATGCACGCTACGCTACATCCCTCCCTCCCCCCATGCCCCATGGCACGCACGCGCACACAGAGCATGGACGAGGCGGGAGTGCAGGGCGCCATCATTACCCAGCCCATCAACCACAAGTTCGACCACTCATATGTCACCCAGTAACGCCCCCACCCCAACTCTCCCCTCGCCCAACCATCCCCTCGCCCAACCCTCCCCTCGCCCAACTATCCCCTCGCCCAACTCTCGAGAATTCTCAAAGTACCATCAACGCCCCCACCCCAACTCTCCCCTCGCCCTAATGCCTCACGCCTCTCACCCCTGCCCCCTTCTCTCCCTCCTTTCTCATCCATACCCCGACTAACCCCTCCTCTTCGATTCCCATTCCCTCCCTAATTTCCTGCCCTCCCCTCTCGCCCTCCTCTCCCTCTTGGCAATCCTCGTGCTCCTCTCCCTTACCCTCATGGCCCTCCCTGCCCGGCCCTTCCTTTTCCTTCGTCCACTCTTCATAAGACGTCACAAAATCCCTGCCTAATCTCGTTCGTTCCTCAGAGGTGACTTTTGAGTCGACTCAAAAGTCACCTCGTCATAAGACGTCACAAAATCCCTGCCTAATCTCGTTCGTTCCTCACCCTACTCTTTTTCCCCGTTTTGCCCCCTCAGCGCCATGCGGCAGCACCCCTCGCGCTTCATTGCAAGCTGCCTCGCTGACCCTGCCTGAGGCCTCTCAAATGTACTTTCCTGTTTCTTCTCTTTCCCCCTCTTCCCCCCCTTGCCAATTTCCCCCCACCACCCCCCCCTTCCCCAGTGCCATGTGTCAGCACCCCTCGCGCTTCATTGGGAGCTGCCTTGCTGACCCCACCGCAGGGGGAGGAGGGGCACGGGAGCTAGAGAGACTTATTCAAGAGGTGGGGAGAAGGGCGGAGGTGGGTGGGCGGAATGGGGGGAAGAGAGGGTGTGTGTAATAAGTGAGGGAATCATGGATGGTGGATACTGGTTGGGCAGAGTGATTGTTACATGTGGTGCATAGGTGGTGCATGGGCGGTGCAGGGGTGGTGCATGGGTGGAATGACAGGTGCGTTGCTGCGAAACACGAACCACTAAACATGGCTGCCTGGGGGTTGTCATCTGGTGCCCTCGATAAGTAAGTTATTTTTTTTTACCAAAGTCATCACCATCCTGTTTGAGGCGCCTCAAAAGTCGTCTCACGTCTCCCAACCCCAATGATTGAATCTGTGGGCTTATGTGCCATCACTGTCCCCATGTTGCTGCCGCCGCCTCACGTCCCCATGTTATTATGCTACTGCTGCTGGCACTGGCAGGAAGGGTATCAATGCGTGCGCTTCAACCCATACCTCTGGCCTGATGGGGAGAAGGTGCATATGCAAACCCCCACCCTTTCCCCTCCCAACACACACACAGCAATCATGAAGCACGTGTTCTCTTCCTGCTATTCCTCCCATGAACCAACCTCCAACCATCTCCTCTTGAATGTGTATCTTTTCCTCCCTCCCCTCCCCTTGCTGCCTAACCTCACACCTTCCTGCCATCCACCCCCACCCTACCCATTCCCCCCATTCCCCAACTCCCCTCGCCCCGGCCTGCCTCGTCCCACGTCCCACTGCCTGCCCCGGGCAGATGACCAACGGAGTGGGGCAGGAAATGTTTTCCCGGGCAGGCGAGCTGGGCGCACCTGTTGCATTCATGTGCTTCAAGGTGGGGTGCATGGAGGAGGGGTGGAGTGGGATTGGAGGAGGTGACGGTGGAGATTGGAGGGGGGCAGGATGCTGCTGCGTTCCTAGTGCTGTAACCTGTCCTTACCTTCCCTTTCCATGTCCATGGCAAGTCTTGAGGCGCCTCAAAGCTCGTCTCTTCTTTTAAGAACCGCATGTTAATCCCTAGGCGCCTCAGAACCACCCTCCAAATTCCCGATCACCACCCCACCCCACCCCACCCCACCCCACCGCACCCCTCAGGGCTTCCACCTGCATGCGGACGAGATAGAGCAGCTGTGCACAGCGCACCCCCACACGCGCGTCATCCTCGACCACTTTGGCTTCTGTCGCAACCCCAACCACCCCTCCGCCACGTGAGACATCCCCTCTCACATCCACCTCCTCCCTCCTCTCGCTTTCCTCTTCCTGCTCGTGCCCTTCCTCACCCACTCTTCCCCTTCCCCCTTCGTCCCCCGCTCTTCATCATCGCACTTATAAGTTCCTCACCCCTGCTCACCACCACTTAATGAACCTCGTGTGCGCCTCAACATGTCCTCCCACTCTCGTCCCCTCCCCCTCTTTTCTCCTCCCTCTCCCCGCCTCCCCACCTTGCATTCGGTGCATGCCCCATTATCAGCGCTGCCGACCGCACCACATGGAATCGCCTGCTCTCACTTGCTCGCTTCCCTCAGGTGACGCCCCTCTCTCTCTCTCTCTCTCTCTCTCTCTCTCTCTCTCTCTCTCTCTCTCTCTCTCTCTCTCTCTCTCTCTCTCTCTGTCTCACTTGTGCTTGTTTTGTCACTACAATTTCCCAACTCTCTGCATTCCTGCCCTTTGTTTTCAGTTCCAACTGCCTCTTACACCTGCGTCCTTTACGTGTATGTGAAGACGACTTTTGAGACGTCTCAAAAGCTTCCCACCTCTCCGCTTCCGGCGCTCTGCAGTCGTTTCCCAATCACCTCGCATGCCTCTGTCTTTCAGGTGTATGTGAAGACATCGGCGCATTTCCGGGTGTCTCGAGAGCCTTACCCCTACTCGGACACGTGGGAGCAAGTGCAGGATTTAATCAAGACTTTTGGAGCACACAGGCTGCTATGGGGAAGGTAGTTTCTCTGACATTCACCCACTTGTGCCTCAAAAGTTGGGTAATCCATTTCCCAACATTTACCTACCGTAATGTCACTCTCTTCAAATCACTCTTTTTTCCTTCTTTTTTTTTTCAACATGTGTTGTTTGCCATGCAGTGATTTCCCATTTGTGGTGAACGAATGCGGTTACAAGGAAAGCTGGGATCTTCTTCAATCCATCACCAATGGGTTGTCCAATGATGAGCGTTCATGGATTCGAGGGGCCACAGCTGCGTCATTATTTCCAAATGCATGGAAAGCCTAATGTGATATTTGTATAGATGTACTTGGTTGATAATCCTTTACAAACTGTTTGTGGAGCATTTTACTCATGTCAGCTTACTAATGATGCTCATGATGAAAGGATCAGGATGGCCTTTCGAGCTCTCTGTTTCGCACCCCACGTGACGAAGTGAATGTTTTGGTGGGAGGGGAATATGTTTTTTCGTGGTCTTTGTGCTCCTACCCCAGATTCTCCAATGCGGAAACAAAAACTTTCGAGGAGAGCTTTTTGCGATGGTCTTCGCATGAACCTTGGACTTCAATCGACGACACATCCATCAGCTTTGGTCTCTCAGGGCCACAATCCAACGGATGGATCGTGGGTGCCTTTCGAGATGTTTCGCTGAAACACACAAGCATCGCACGGGCAGCACTTCTGACATGAGAAGCAGCCGTCAAGCCCAGATGCTGCCCCTCGCGAACCAAAGCGGGTAAATTTTCGTTCCTTGAGGAGTGATGTGGGAGACTTGTCACCGCCATACTTTTCACGGGGCGTTGGGACAAGCAACGAATCCCTGCCAAACATTTCTTGATGCGACACGGCAGGGACGAAATGGGCAAATCTTTGCGTTGTGACAAACCATCACTGGTTGTACTCGCGTCGCGGTTCACCCGTTGCGACTCGGCTACAGAGTCGAATGTCTCATGCCTTCGGTTTCCACCCATCTCACATTTCGCTTTGACATGTTGCCTTCAAAATCCTCCATAAACCTCGCAGTTTCATTGGAATGAGTGCAAGCGCCTTTCTTGCTCATTCCCTCCCAGTTTGCCCCTCCCAACATTACCAAATCTGCTGAAGAGACCTCTCACACTGATTCTCTGAAAGGGAGGGACGAAAGCGAGTTGTTTTGCAGAGAAGAGGAGCATCGTCCACTCGTTCGCTCGGCTGATGCTTGGGGACCTGAAATTGCTGAGACAAATTTAGCAATAAGTCTCCGCTGTAATATTTTTTTCTGCCACGTCGTTAACTGGACGCAATGGCCTTCCCTGATCATAGAACGTGGACGGCATGCCTGCCACTGGTATTCCTCCTCGTCATCGTCGCGTCACTTCCCCCAACTTCGGCGGGGTCGCGGAAATCCATCCCTCTCTCGCGACAGTCGTCGCCATTCCTCAAGAACTTCAAGTGCGACGCCTTCGCTAACGGCAGCGACTACTGCCAGCTCGGTGCCGACGGCTCGCTCAACCTTCGAGCGTACCACAACAACATGGGATGTGAGTTATTCTCTCTGCCCCTCCTCGTCTACTTTCCTCTTGCCCCTACCAGTATTCACACCTGAACTCTGCTCGCTTGAAACTCCATGAACCCGAGTCACCTTTTACCGTCATCGCCCCGTGACTTCATCGCTTCATCCGTTCAACCACCCGTGTCACCACCACATGTGCACGTTCGAACAAACCACTCACCTTTGCACCCTCCCGCAACAACTCACAGGCGCTTTTTCTCCCCCGACTCCCCCCCCCCCCCCCCCCCCCCCCCCTCTTCGCGCAGCCTTCACGTCGCGCAACTTTTACATGTACGGCATGTTCAGCGTGCGAATGAAGTTTCCTCAGGGCTACTCCGGCGGCATCATCCCCTGCATGTACTTAATCTCCGCCGGGAACAAAGGCTTTAAAGACGTGCACGACGAGATCGACTTCGAGTTCCTAGGCGGCAAGAACCCGCGCGAGATTATTATGCATACTAATCTGATTACTAACGGCTACAACAAGCTTGAGCAGTTCACGTTTCCGTTCGACCCGTCCGCCGCGTACCATCGCTACAGCATTCTATGGAGTCCCACGGCGGTGACGTGGTTCGTTGATGCCATCCCCATCCGAATTGCATACCGTCGGAACAGCCCTGGTTTCCCTTCCAAGCCGCTCCGGATTCGGGTGAGTGCTCCGCACGTTACTCGGGCGTGATCGCGCTTTGGGGAGTGTTGAAAGGCGAAATTTCTTGGAGCCGTTGCGTTGCCTGTCGTACCCTCTGCCAACTTCTGTTCCGGAGATAACCATTCAATTATCTTCAAAGTTTTACCTCCAGGCGCGTCCATTATCGAGCATATCCTCTTTCCTTCCACCCCTCCCATCTTCACTTCTACCCTCTCCCTATCCCGCTCTCTCTTCCCCTCGCGCACACCAAAACGTTCCGCTGACTCTCTAACAACCTCGTCCTCATCCTCTCACTTCCCCTCCTCTTCCCTTCCGCCCCGGCCATAAACTTCTATCTCTCTTCCCCTTCCTCCCCTCTTCCGCACTCCCACGGCGCCCTTCTTCCCTCGCTCCTACCTCCCTTCGCTCCCTGTCTCCCCGTCTCCCTCCCCTGCTCTTATATATGCGCTGCAGGGCTCCATCTGGGACAGCTCGGAATGGAGCGCTCTCAAGTCCAATTTCAACTCAGGACCCATCACCGTCAGCTTCAAAAACTTCAACATTCAGGGCTGCCGCGTCACCAGCCGCAGCATCCCCCGTTGCGCCACGTACAAGGCTGGGAAGCAGCCGTGGATGTTCCGCATGAGCGGGCTGCAGAAGAAGCTGTACGTGTGGTTCCAGAAGTACCACGTGGCCAAGAAGTACTCCTGGGAAAAGACCGTGTAATCCAGCTGAGTTGGCGCTGGTGATGCAGGGACTTTCTTAAGTAGAAACACATTTGACACTAGAAAAATCAGGGGGGGATTAGGATTACCCAGGGTGAAGGACAGTGTGCTCTCCACGGCGTTTGGAATGCACGGGTAGCGGAACCAAACACGCCAAACTGTGGCACACACAGCTCCTAAACTAAAGGAGCTGCCAGCCCTGCGTGTGAACCGGAAACCAGCACACCTTCCTAGGTGAATGTAGGAGAGTTGACAGACATGTTTGATGCAAAAATGACTTGGGCAAAAGCCCTCCTTCGAATTGAGTAAGCTGTTTGTACGAATTGCTGACTCGCTGTTGCATGACAACTTCAGTCGGTATACGAGTACAGTTATATGGTAGCATGAACAACACCCCAGCTCAACCAGGTTTGGTGGCCCTGGTGTTGACAAATCTGCCCACCCAACCCCAGCCACTAAGTTTGGGCCCAGTGTCTCAAAGGTTGCTTGTAACAACCAGGCACATAAGTCAGCACCCCAGCCACTTCCAGCAGCTTCACTCGTCTGGGGAAATATTAAATCCGTCCCTTGCACTTTCTGTGCGACTTAGTACCTATAAGGAACACGTTGTGACAGGCAAAATAGGGGACACAGGGATGACACGTGGGCCACTTTTGCGAGAAGGGCATAGCCAGTGCACTATGCGTACGGCTCAAGCTTACCAATGATGACAGTCTGGTGATTAGAAGCTGGTAATGACTGTGCATCTCTCCGTGCTGATGCCGTCGTTTATTGAACAAATCTTCCTTTTCTTGAATCTATTCACACAACGACACAAAGGCATGAAAACGTTATGGTGGAGGCTAACGTGAATGGACATGTCAATAAGACCTTGTTGGGCAAATGTGTGCACAAGATGTTCCTTACCTCTCTCTGCAGCTTCATTTTTTCCTCAACAAAAGCGGATTCCCCATGCACAAGCTCCTTGTGCATAGCTTCCTGGTCTCTTTTAGTGGACTCCAGAGCAGCCTGCAGCTCCTCGAGCTGCTTGTCCCGTGCCTCCTGTTTCTTTGCTCGAATAGCATCTGCAAATGCAGAATCTCGCATCAGCTTAGCATCTTGTAAAGAAGCGCTACAGCACCTCATCCCAACACCCATGCACCTTCTTGAGGAATCCTTTCCGCTCTCATTCTCAAGAACTCCCTCTTCTGTTTCAACTTGTCGATGGCACACGCCTTCGATTGGATCTCTGATTTTAACTTGCTACAATTGTCAGCCTGAGACGCACAAAAAGGGCCTTTCAGACTCATGACTTAGTCGGGTCTTACATACAAATATGGACTCAAGGTCGCATGTTTTTATCCAGAAAGCGCGACCCTTCAAGAAAGAACAAAGATAAAAGAGGGCTACGTCTCGAACACATACCGTGGACAGAGCCGGTTGGATTGTCTCATTCCGACGCTTTATCACCTCAAGCACCTGACAGACCCAGGGTGCGGCAAGCATGTCAGAGGAAGGTCGAATACGTCCACAAGTTGAGGCAACAGGTGCAAGGTACATACATCTCTTGACATTAAAAGTTTCTGGCGAAAAACCTCTGCGCTGTCAGATTCTTCCTTCTTCGCTTCGGTTTCAGCCTGAATGGCCTCTTCAACTCGTTTAAGAGCCATCTGCGATCGATTGGTGTGTAAGAACCTCTTAAACACATATGTGCGCGAAGACGTCCACATGCATCCCTTTCACCTCCAACTTCTTAGGAGATTGGGCAATTTGATGCTGAAGAACCTGTGCTTCTGCCTTGGCGTCAGCAGCCTTGCCCTTCTCTGCCATTATCTGCCATACAATCAAGTAAATTGGGATCATACGTATACTCGTCAAGCCTACCATGCTGGGCTGAAAAACTGACCTCTGCATCCAGCTTACTCAGCTGCTCCTGCCTTGTAGACACCAGCTTCACAACTTCGTCTCGCTGCTTGGTTAATTCTTGAATCTTAGGTTTAAGGCCACCCACTTCCGCCCTCAGCCATTCTGCTTCGTTCTTATCATCTTTGTTCCGTTCGTCCTGTGATACATTTTCTGCGTCCACCTGCAAGCCAACAGGTTGTCCATAAGAGAGTAATTACTGCATGGACATTCTATGGTCTGGACAGACTTGAGCAATTTTGAATGGACCACGCTTTTACCTCTGCAATCCGATCCTCGAGCATGTGTTTTGACTCTGTCATCCTGTTGTTCGTTTCCAGAACGAGGTCCAGACTATCTGCATGCTGATGACTGTAACGAAAGGGAAGAATGACATAAAGAGAAAACCGTACTTTGTTTAAGCAGATAGCAACTTGTTGGCATGCAACAGAATCTGTTTGACCACAGTTGGACGAGACATCCCATCATCGGATGATACGAGTGGAAGATGTCAAAACATATTGTTATGTTCTTACTCTAGGTTGTGTAGGGTCACACCTTAGAGGGTACAACCCAACTCTCTCGACACTCTTGTACCCCCTCTCCCTCACCTAATCATCATTCCTCACCTAGCTACTAGTGATTCTAACATGGTATTAAGAGCACAATGCTCCTTAGGACCGAATGTTTAAAAGGGCCCACCACTACTATTTCGATCTACTGCCCGAGTCGCGCCCCTAGGAGAAACGCGAAATTCGAAACCGTGCTCTAGGCGAGACGGTTCCTTTTTCTGCCCTAGACGCGATTTTCCTTCCTAGTCACGTGCGACCCCCCCTGACCGCGCCTTAGCTGCCAGTACAGCCCGCGTAGGCCCGTCGCGAAGCCCGTACAGCCCGCGTAGGCCCGTCGCGAAGCCCGTACAGCCCGCGTAGGCCCGTCGCGAAGCCCGTACAGCCTGCGCCAGGCCGTCGCGCAGCCCGTACAGCCCACGTCAGGCCCGCACCCAGCTCGTAAAGCCCACGCCAGGCCCGCACGCAGCCCTTACAGCCCGCGCCTGGCCCGCACGCGGCCCGTGTTACTGCTGCACTCGCTGCTGCTGCTACACTGCTGCGCCTGAACTGCTGCTGCAGTGCTGCTGCCGCCTGTACTGCCCTGAAACTGCTGCTGCTACTTGCTGCAGCTGCTCCTCCTTGCTGCTGCTGCTGCTACTTGCTGCAGCTGCTCCTCCTTGCTACTGCTGCTACAGCTAGCGCTACTCACTGCTGCTGCTACTGAAGCTAGTGCTGCTACAGCTAGTGCTACTGCTGCTGCTGCTACTACCGCACTTGCTACAGCTGCTACTGACTGAAGCTACGGCTGCTACAGCTAGTGCTACTGCTGCAGCTCCTACTCCAACACTTGCTACAGCTACTATTGACTGAAGCTACTCCAGCTACAGCTAGTGCTACTGCTGCAGCTCCTACTCCAGCACTTACTGCAGCTGCTCCTGACTGAAGTTACTGCTGCTACAGCTAGTACTACTGCTGCAGCTCCTACTACTTCACTTGCTACAGCTAGTGCTACTGCTGCAGCTCCTACTCCAGCACTTGCTACAGCTGCTCCTGACTGAAGCTACTGCTGCTTGACTGAAGCTACTGCTGCTACAGCTAGTACTACTGCTGCAGCTCCTACTACTGCACTTGCTACAGCTAGTGCTACTGCTGCTCTGCCACTGTGTCCGAGCCGCGCCGCCCAGCCCGAGCTGTCACTGCTACTGCTACTGCAACTACTACTGCTACAGCTAGTGCTACTCGGTCTACTGCTGCTGCTGCTGCTGCTGCTCGGTCTGCTGCTGCTGCCCGAGCCGCCCTGCTACTGCTGCTACTGGAGGGAGTACTGCTGGGAGTGGTGGAGGTGCGGCCTCCCACCCCCACCGAACCGCCCTGCTGCTGTTACTACTGCTGCTGCTGCTACTTGTGCTACTGGGAGTGGAGGAGGTGCTGCTGGGAGTGTAGGAGGTGCTGCTGGCGCTGTAGGAGCTGGAGGTGCTGGACCTACTCCTGACAGTCACTGTCTGTCATGGCCACTTCCGCGGCAGTCGCTGCGGCCAGGGGTGGACAGCAGCGGGCACTGCTTCTCCCGGACGACCCCACCCCTCGGCAGCTTCGTGAGTGGGTTATTCAGCGAGGTCGTCCTGGTGGTGGAGGTTATCGTTCTGTTAAGACCGCTGCTCTTGGTGTTAGTGAGTCTGCTGCCACTCCAGGTGTTAGTCAGTCTGCTGCCACTCCAGGTGTTAGTGAGTCTGCTGCAGCTCTAGGTGCCCGTGAGTCTACCGACGCTCTAGTTGCTAGTGCGTCTACTACCACAGGTCCTGCCTCAGCTGAGGTCTTGCACACTTTCACGCTTGACTCCGGCGCGTCACGTTGCTTCTTCCGTGATTGCACCACAGTCACACCACTCACAGCACCTGTCCCAGTCTCACTGGCTGACCCCTCTGGGGGCCCAGTGGTTGCGAGAGCCTCCACGGTCCTCCCTTGTCCAGCAGTCCCCTCCGGCTCTTTGTCAGGTCTCCACCTCCCCACGTTCTCGACGAAATTGGTGAGCAACGCTGCCATTCAGGATGTCTGGGTTGATACCTTTATTCCTGGAGGGCAGCGTGTGGCGATCTGTACGTGCTCCCGGACTGGCCGTCACCTGGCTACGTTCACTCGACAGCCTGGGTCTAGTCTGTACACACTGACCACTGCGTCTGCACAGGTGGCTGAGTCCGGTCAGGTAGCTACGTCGAGTCGAGCGTCTGCGTCAGGACAGTTAGCTGCGTCTTGCTCGTGCCGAGTACTCACGCACGAGACTCAGCGCTGGCACCACCGTCTTGGTCACCCCTCCCTGCAGCGTCTGCGCCGCATGCACTCCCGGCTCCTGGTCACTGGCCTCCCTGAGACCCTGCCCCCCCTCCCGCGCTCACTTGCGCCGCCGTGCCTTCCTTGCGTCGAGGGGCGGCAACGCGCCGCTCCTCACTCCTCCGAGTTTCCTCCGACCACTGCTCCTCTGCAGACTCTCCACATGGACGTGTGGGGCCCGGCCCCCGTCGGTGGAACGGACCAGGAGCGCTACTTCCTGCTGGTGGTTGACGACTACACACGCTACACCACAGTCTTCCCCTTGCGGCGCAAGGCGGATGTCAGTGGTGTCTTGATCCCCTGGATCCGTGCTACTCGTCACCAGCTGCGCGAGCGGTTTCGGCGGGACTTTCCAGTCCTGCGTCTGCACTCTGACAGGGTTGGTGAGTTCTCCTCTGGCGTCCTTGAGACGTTCTGCCAGGATAAGGGCATCGCCCAGTCGTTCACGCTTCCGGCCTCTCCGCAGCAAAATGGGATCGCTGAGCATCGCATTGGCCTGATCATGGAGGTTGCTCGTACCTCCATGATCCATGCGGCTGCTCCCCATTTCCTGTGGCCGTTTGCGGTCCGATACGCCGCGCATCAGCTCAACCTCTGGCCCCGTGTCTCTGCTCCAGAGACCTCGCCCACACTCCGTTGGACGGGACAGCCTGGTGATGCGTCGTCGTTTCGGGTCTGGGGCGCGCTCTCCCTTGTTCGCGATACCAAAGCGAGCAAGCTCTCCCCTCGCACTCTCCGCTGTGTCTTCCTCGGCTTCCTCACCGACGCTCCACCCTGGCAGTTCTACCACCCTGCCTCGCGTCGTGTTCTGTCCTCTCAGGACGTCACCTTCGACGAGTCGGTCTGTTACTACCGACTTCACCCGCACGCGTCCCACCCGGTCCCTCTCGCGCCTCTCTTCCTGGTACCAGTCCCCCCCCCGGTAGACCCCCTTCCCCCACAGGGTCCTGCTCCCTCAGGTGTGTCCCAGGTAGACCCACCCCCCTTGGATGAGCCTGTTGAGATCTCTTCTGACTCCTCTGACTCACCTGAGGGGGGTGACGTCGTCGCCGACGACACGGCGACCACTCGCCGCACTCCTCGCTTGGAGACCCCCCCGGGTTTCCCGCCACGGCCGTCTTCGCCGCCTCTGCAGCCTGCTGCTGTGGACTCTGGAGCTGAGACTACTGGAGCTGGGGCTGGGGGTGGTGAGTCCGGGGGTGCCCGCTCTCCTTGTCTGGCTACACCCCCCGGGTTCCCACCTCTGCCGTCTTCGCCGCCTCTGCAGCCTGCTGCTGTGGACACTGGAGCAGAGACTGAGGGTACTGAGCCTGGGGGTGCTGGGACTGAGGGTACTGAGCCTGGGGGTGCTGGGACTGAGGGTACTGAGCCTGGGGGTGTTGGGACTGAGGGTACTGGACCTGAGGGTGCTGCGACTGAGGGTACTGAGCCTGCGAGTGCTGAGACCGAGGGTCCTGCCTCTGGGGGTAATACGAGTTCGGGTGCTGACTCTGGGGGTGCTGCGAGTCCTTCTGGTGTTGGTGTCGTCGGAGCTCCTACCGGAGGACCTGGAGCTACTGGTGCGGGAGGTACTGGAGGTACTGCTGATGCTGGAGGTCCTGGAGGTGCTGCTGGTGCTGGAGGTCCTGGAGGTGCTGGAGGTACTGGAGGTGCTGCTGGTGCTGGAGGTCGGGGAGCTGCAGGTGCTGCTGGTCCTGGTGGAGCTGCTGGTGCTGGAGGTACTGGAGGTGCTGCTGGTGCTGGAGGTCGTGGAGCTGCTGGTGCTGGAGGTACTGGAGGTACTGCTGGTGCTGGAGGTCGTGGAGCTGCTGGAGCTGCTGGTGCTGGAGGAGCTGGAGCTGCTGGGACTGGAGGTCCTGGAGGTGCTGGAGGTCCTGGTGGAGCTACTGGTGCTCTTCGCCACCTTCTCAGTCTTCAGCCAGGTGCTACTGGCTTCCCTGTGGCAGGTACTACTCCTCCGTTGCTGTGTCCACCGGCGGACCAGTCACAGCCGCCGCTGCTACCACACTCCCCACTGCCTGCTCCTGCTCCTTACACTGCGGTGTCAGAGTCCCTGACTGAGCGTCGAGAGCCTGAGACTCGTGCTTCCACCCCTGAGCGTCGAGAGCCTGAGTCTAGCTTTGACCTTGAGCCTGAGCCTAGAGCTGCTGTCCGTGCTCGTGTTCCTCGTGTTCGTCGTCAGCGTGCTCCGGCTGTCCCCGGCACTCACGATATGACACTCCGTCCTTCCTCTGTTCCTCAGCGTGTTGTCCTACCGTTACCTCCAGCGTCCTCTTTGCCTGACGTTGCTGACCCTCCGTCTGACCTTGCTCGTGCGTTCAGTCCGACTGTTACTCGCCTTCTTGCTACGGTTGTGACGGACCCTACGTTCTCGTCTCCTGCTGCGTCTGCCCTAGTAGCTGAGCTCGTTGACTTTGCTGCTGTGTACCGCCTCGACTACCTTGCGAGTCTTGTCTCTGACCCTGTCCCTGCCTGTCCTCCGTCCGTCGGGGGTGAGACTGCTCTTGGCTGCACTGCCCTTGGCTGTGACGTTCTTGAGGACAGACAGGAGGAGCTGGAGTGCCTTGCTACCGCTTCACCCCATCACGCGACCATGCTGCTTGCCCCTGAGGGAGACCCGGATGCACTTGACATCCCCACCCCGCGCTCCTACAGGGAGGCGATTTCGGGTGAGTACTCCTCTCAGTGGCAGACAGCCATGGACGCAGAGATGGCTTCCTGGAAGTCCACAGGCACCTACGTCGACGAGGTTCCCCCACCTGGGGCGAACATCGTCAGTGGCATGTGGATTTTCAGGGTGAAGCGGCCGCCAGGTTCTCCGCCTGCCTTCAAGGCACGTTACGTTGCTCGAGGCTTCAGTCAGCGTGAGGGGGTCGACTTCTTTCAGACCTTCTCTCCCACCCCGAAGATGACCACTCTTCGGGTGTTGCTACACGTTGCAGCTCAGCGTGACTACGAGCTGCACTCCCTCGACTTCTCGACAGCTTTCTTGCAGGGTAGCCTTCACGAGGCCATCTGGTTGCGCCGTCCACAGGGCTTCACTGGGTCGTTTCCTGAGGGTACCCAGTGGAGCCTACGGCGACCAGTGTACGGCTTGCGTCAGGCGCCCCGCGAGTGGCACGACACACTGAGGACGACACTTGCGGCTCTTGGGTTTGCTCCTTCGACTGCTGACCCGTCGCTGTTTCTACGCACCGACACTACTCTGCCGCCGTTCTACATCCTCGTGTACGTCGACGACTTGGTTTTTGCTACTGCTGACACTGAGGCACTGGCCCTAGTGAAGGCGGAGCTGCAGGAGAGACACACCTGCACTGACCTGGGTGAGCTGCGGAGCTATCTTGGCTTGCAGATCACCCGGGACAGACCACGGCGCACCATCACCCTGACTCAGTCACACATGGTGCACCAGGTCCTACAGCGCTTCCGCTTCACGTACTCCTCGCCACAGCCCACTCCTCTGGCTACCGGCCACTCGCTCTCAGCTCCACCTTCGGACGAGTCCGTAGAGCCGAGTGGTCCGTACCCAGAGCTTGTGGGCTGCCTCATGTACCTGATGACGTGCACACGACCTGACCTCGCGTACCCTCTCAGCCTTCTGGCTCGCTACGTGGCACCCGGTAGGCACCGAAAGGTGCACTTTGATGCTGCGAAGAGGATACTGCGTTACTTGTGCAGCACATCGGGCATGGGGCTTGTGCTTGGAGGACGGGGTTCGGTGGTCCTCACAGGACACTCTGACGCCTCTTGGGCCGACGACCAGGCGACTCAGCGTTCGTCACAGGGCTACACCTTCAGTCTTGGCGCTGGTTCTGTCTCGTGGAGGTCCACTCGTTCTTCTTCTGTGCTTGGTTCCAGTTGTGAGGCCGAGATCTACGCTGGGGCCATGGCTGCACAGGAGCTCCGCTGGCTGACCTACCTGCTGACGGACTTGGGGGAGCAGCCTCGTTCACCTCCAGTTCTGTACGTCGACAACAAGGCAATGCTTGCCTTGTGTCGCGAGCAGAGACTGGAGCACAGAACGAAGCACATTGCTCTGCGTTACTTCCTTGCGCGTGAGCTGCAGCAGCGTGGTCAGCTGCGCCTTGCTTTCGTGGCCTCTCGGGCCAACACTGCTGATGTCTTCACCAAGGCCCTTGGGGCTGGTGATCATCAGCGTTTCTGCACTGCTCTTGGGCTTGTGCCCACTCTGCCTCACCTGCTGGTTGCTTGACTTGCTCTTGTTATACACTGCTATATATATCTTTATACCTGCATGTTTACTGCCTTGCTATTATAAATCTGCATGTGAACTGGCCTTGTGGCCGCCTGCTTGTGCTCAGATTGTGTGGTGTCCTTGAGATCCACCCTGGGCTTTGCCTTGCTTGTTCTGTTGCTTGACTGGTCTTGTGACCACTGTTAGGTTTGGTTATCCCCTACTTCACCTATGGGGGTGTGTCAAAACATATTGTTATGTTCTTACTCTAGGTTGTGTAGGGTCACACCTTAGAGGGTACAACCCAACTCTCTCGACACTCTTGTACCCCCTCTCCCTCACCTAATCATCATTCCTCACCTAGCTACTAGTGATTCTAACAGAAGAGACAGTGGCATAATAACAGTTAACCTGGAAATGTGTTTTTTTAGCCATTAAACTCACATGAAGAGAAAGAAGTTTGCGAAAGCGGAGAGCGCACGAATTGTTCGGGCTGAATTGGGCTTCACCAAATCTCGTATTGTAAACCATGGTGAATCTGCAGCAGACACGATCTGTGAAACTGATCGGAAGAGACGGATGATTCCGATCGACTCTTCATGCGCCTCTGGTGCGTCAAGGTGTGTTCGCGCGATCGCGTTATCCAAATGGCATTGGTCCCTAATGACAGACAGAAAGGGGCTTTAATTCGTGACTTCGGGGCGATATTTTGCATGATTGTCAAGATCTAGACCTTAGTACCTTTTCCTTGGCAACGTGAATGCCACGATCGCTTCATAGACTTGTCGTATAACATCTGCTGTTGGTCGTAAAATGTCCTCCTCATTCAGCTTATGGATTCCCTCATATCGCTTCACTAGGTCCTTGGTGCTCAAAATGGGAAACGACGGAGCCATTTCCAGCAACCTCAGATTGAACCACTCATCGAAATTGGAGAAATCTCTCCAGATAACAGGGAGTTAGGGACGTACTAGCCCAAAGAAAACAGGAAGAAGGTGGAACCCGAGTCGTGCATGACGGGATTGGTGGGGGGACATTGAATTTGAAAGTGTAGGGGGTTGTCGAGGAAGGCATTAGGGCGCATTCCTGGCTTCGGGTCATCCATCTTCATGTCATGCGAAATTTGTGGAATCCAATCAAATCGAAGCTCAAACCGCGGGTTATCCGATTAACTACCACAATTTTCAGAAGACACAAACTACGGATGACCTGGAGCTCGGAATGCGCCCGCAGACACGATAGACAAGTGCCGTAGTTAAATATCGGTGTATGTAAGGAATTTTCTTGATATTCCTTAGCGCATCCGACAACATCGCATACAGCAGCAACCGTTGTTCGCCCGTTACAGCTAACGGGGCTTCGCCGACTTCGCGCGCACTGTTTCACCAAACCTCGCACTGTTGGCCCGGTCGTGACGGCCTACGCTTTGGGACTAGCCCAAACCTCACTGCCAGCATAGCACTAGCTAGCTCGCACACACCGCGTTACCGTTTACATGTTTCGCGTATAAATGTTCGCTCATGCCTTCGCTCACATTTTGTACTCGTTTGACATTTAGTGCAATCCTCGCTACCTCGATTCAATGCACCCGTAACACTTGGTATTCATAGCTTCTTTCTTTCGGACCGCGCATCTCCGCACCCCAGGAAATCAACTTTTGTTTTTTCACTCGAAGGGACTCACACAACTTAGCCCCTAGGAGCCGCTGTCCTCGCGTTCTCTCGTAAACGCATGCACCCATGACTGCGCCTAGACTAAGCCGAGCCGACGCCCTTCGTAACGGCCGAGCACATCAACGTCACCACCCTCACGCAGGAGCATCTGAACGAACTGCTGCGGCAACTTCGCGAAAACTCTAAAGAAATCGCGGCGCTGACGACATAACGCAGTTCCCTGCAAAATGACATCGCACGAGCATAGCAAGCACAATCTCAAGCACCTGGCACTCCGGTACAGCCCGCACCACAGACATCACAACACGGAAGCGTAGGGCAACCCGCGAGCGCGGCTAGTGATGGCGTCATCCACCACGACGGAGACGACGACCACACCGCGACACACCCCGAGGCGACGAATGCGGCCCGAAGCTAACCGCGCGTCACAATTTTGGCACCGATCAACGATTCGGCACTGCCGTCACCGATGCCGCTGAAGCCGCAGCGTCCGCCATGTTTCGACCTGAGTCAACGGGGTGGTCCTACCGTTCGGGCGTGGTTGTTCGCGGTGAACGTTTTCTTCGACGCCAACTACGTCTCGGAGGATACGGCGAAAATTCGCTACGCCGTGTCGCTACTGTGAGGATCGGCCATAGACTGGTGGCGTGTCATCGTCACGAAGCCGAATGACTATGCGACTCTACCGACACGGGAAGGACAAACCGGACCCTGGGCGCCGTCGTATTTCGTGGAGGTGCCCCAATATCGCACGGGGGACGCGTGGTGCGCAGGTCTGCGCGCTCGATTTGAGCCAATTGCGGCTTCGATCGCGGCGCGTCAGAAGCTCCGCACTTGGCGCCAACTCGGTTCCGTCAAGGACTACACTAGCGGGCTTCTGGCGTTGTGCGAGCAAGTGGGATACATGCACGAGGGCGAGCGTATCGACCGCTACATCGGCGGCCTGAAGCACGACATCGCTCAGGAAATCCAGCTCCGCGGCGTCACTGATCTTCAGGAGATTCTCGCCATGGCAGAGAAGCTCGACATTTTCCACCGACCGCGACCGGGGTCCTACGGAAGCAGTAACTGGGGACATCGATCTCGTGGGACGAACGAGGGCGCTACGATACGTGCCGTCGCCGCGAATGCCGTTGCCGCACCGTTCAAATGGCGCTGCTTTGCGTGCAATCGGTCGGGACACCGTAAGAGCGAATGCCCAGAAAACGCTAAGGGAAAGGGGGAAGCAGAGCAGCAGAAACAGACCAAGCAGTAGGGAAATGCTGGGAGTCAGTAGCAGACAAGACCCCTACTGACAGGTCACGCCGCTCGCCCGACCCAACCGACCCTCACCGAGTGATTGTGCTGGTGTACGCAATCGACCGCACCCGGCCGAATAAAGAGGGTACTGCGGTAGACAGCCCCGTACTGCTTAGTGGAAAAATCGGGACGGACTTAGTTAAAATCTTCGTAGACGGGGGAGCCAGCCACAGCGTGATCAACACTGCCACAGCACAAAAACTGAGACTGCCACTGGACAGATGTTAACCTGAGATCGACGCAAGACTGGTTCACGGCACACCACTGGCGATACGGGAACGCGTAGACCGAGTTCGGATTCGATGCTCGCGACAACCCTCGACGGAACTGACATTTTACTCGGTCATGATTGGCTGCTACGACACAATCCGCGAATAGACTGGATGACGGGTGAATGCACCGTGCAAGTGAACGCTAACAACATTGCCTTACCTCGCTGGGGCTCGCCTATGTCTTCGTCGGTGCATGTCAACGCGATCACGATGAAACGCGCCGTAGCGGCAGGAGCTGACATGTACGCGCTTGACATTCAGGAAGCCGAGGCAGCACACAAAGGGGGGGATTTACAGAAACTGCTACCATGAATTACAGCCGATTCCACCGCCCGAGTGTGCCTGGCAGCAGGTTACCATGGATTTCATCACAGGGTTACCTTCGAACCCTGGGGGTAACGACGCGGTTATGGTCGTCGTTGACAGGCTGACGAAAATGGCACACTTCGCTGCGTGCAAGAAATCGATCTCAGCCGAAGAAACCTCTCGCCTCGCAGCCGTTGTACGCCTGCACGGGATACTGTTAGAATCTAGAGACATGAATCAATGCACTATGGTAGAATTGGGTACAAGTATGAAACCCTAAACGGGGTTGTACCCCATATTGGCTATCCCACTACAGCCTACATATATATAACATGCATATACTTTGACACACCCCCATAAGCAAAGTGGGGGAGAACAAGGGGTCACAAGACCAATCAAGAGAAGCAAAGCAAGCTCAGGGTGGATCAGAATGTCACCACACACACTGAGCACAAGCAAAGGACCACAAGGCCAGTTCACATGCAGAGGTATATATGCAACAACGGCAGCACAGTGATCTCTACCTAGCAGAGCAAGCATGCAGGTGTATATATATAGATCACAGTACAGACAAAGTCTACAGCAAGTGAGGAAACGTGGGCACAAGGCCTAACAAAGTGCAGAAACGCTGATGATCACCAGACGGAAGTGCCTTGGTGAATATATCAGCAGTGTTGGCCCGAGTGGCCACGTGTGCAAGATGAAGCTGACCACGCTGCTGCAACTCTCGAGCAAGGAAGTAACGCAGAGCGATGTGCTTCGTTCTGTGCTCCAGTCTGTGCTCCTGACACAAGGCAATGGCGGCCTTGTTGTCTACGTACAGCACTGGAGGAGAACGAGGCCGCTCTCCCAGGTCGGTCAGCAGGTAGATGAGCCAGCGTAGCTCCTGTGCAGCCATGGCTGTGGCGTAGATCTCAGCCTCACAACCGGAGCCGAGAACAGAGGACGAGCGTGTAGACCGCCAAGAAACAGAGCCAGAGCCAAGGCTGAAGGTGTAACCCTGTGACGACCGCTGCGTAGCCAGGTCGTCAACCCAAGAAGCGTCTGAGTGCCCAGTGAGGACGACTGAGCTCCGCCCTCCAAGCACGAGCCCCATGCCCGATGTACTGCACAAGTAGCATAGTATTCTCTTAGCAGCATCCATGTGCACAACCCTAAACCCTAAACCCTACCAGGAGCCACGTAGCGAGCCAGAAGGCCAAGAGGGTACGCAAGGACAGGACGAGTGCAGGTCATCAGGTACATGAGGCAGCCCACTAGCTCTGCGTAAGGACCACTCGGCTCTACGGACTCGTCCAAAGGTGGAGCTGAGAGCGAGTAACCTGTAGCCAGAGGAGTGTGTTGTGGCGAGGACCAGGTGAAGCCGAAGCGCTGAAGGACCTGCTGCACCATGTGTGACTGAGTCAGTGTGATGGTGCGGCGTGCTCTGTCCCGGGTGATCTGCAAGCCAAGGTAACTGCGCAGCTCA